CGGTGGGCACCATCCTGCCTGACCCGCTGCCACCCCACAGGACTTCTCCTTTACAACGGGCAGCGGAAAACCAGCGGCGCCGACTTCATCTCCTTTGGTTTGGTGGGTGGCGGCCCCGAATTTAGGTGAGAGCCATGAGTGGGTGCTGGAGAGGGTGGGGCAGGTGGGTGCCAGCACCTACCCACACCTATTGTACCCCCCAAAAAAAATAAGGTTTGACGCCGGTTCGGGCATGGCCACCATCCGGCACCCGACGCCGCTGCGGTTGGGCGAGTACCACACCGTCCGCCTCCTCCGCAACCTCACCCGGGGCTCGCTGGCGCTGGATGGGCACCCCCCCATTAACGGGACCTCCCAGGTATTTTTTAGGAGAGGGTTGATGTGTATTGGGTGGGGGTCAGGGTGCTGGAAGTGGTGCCCACCCACTTGTGTCTGCAGGGGAAGTTTCAAGGGCTGGATCTGAACGAGGAGCTGTACCTGGGGGGGTACCCCGATTTTGGTGCTGTGACTAAGACAGGGCTCAGTCGTGGTTTTATGGGTGAGTGATGGGTTTTGGGGGGGCACCGGTGGGGGGATGAGCATCATGTCACCCCCCCCAACATTTCCATCCCTCCACAGGCTGCGTGCGCCAGCTCCGCATCCAAGGGGAGGAGGTGGCCTTTGGGGACATGGACCTGCAGGCGCACGGTGTCACCAGTTGTCCCACGTGCCAGGACCGGCCGTGCCAGGTGAGGACGGGGTGAGGTGTGATGCCCACCCATCCCCACCCATAGCTGACACCCATGTCACACCCCCCCCCAGAATGGTGGCGTGTGCCAGGACGCTGAGAGTGGCACCTACATCTGCCGCTGTCCCCACGGCTTCACCGGCAGCAACTGCGAGTACTCACAGGCTTTGCATTGTCACCCAGGTGGGTGCCCGTCCCTTGGGGATGTCACTCTGATGTCCCTCCCCGGATGGGTGCTCATCACTTGTCACCCTACAGAGGCATGCGGGCCTGATGCCACCTGTGTCAACCGGCCGGACGGGCAGGGCTATACCTGCCGCTGCCACCTGGGCAAGGCCGGGGAGCGGTGCACGGAGGGTGAGCCATGGGGACAGCGGGGTCGGGGGACATGGGCATGGGGTGAGGACCATCCCGGGGAGATGGGTGCAGGGCTGGGACCATCCTGGGGACATGGGCGTGGGGTGGGGACCATCCCGGGGAGATAGGGACATGGCTGGGGACCACCCTGGGGACACAGGCATGGGTCTGGGGACCACCATGGGGAGATGGACACAGGGCTGGGACCACCCTGGGGACATGGGGACATGGCTGGGGTCCACCTTGGGGACACAGGCATGGGGTTGGCACCACCCTGGGGAGATGGGCAGGAACTGGGACCACCCTGGGGAGATGGGGACATGGCTGGGGACCACCCTGGGGACACAGACGTGGGTCTGGGGACCACCCTGGGGAGATGGGCCCCGTGGGGCTGGAGGAGTCGTCCCCCTGGCGCATGCTGACGCGGGGGTGCCGCAGGCGAGGCGGTGAGCGTGCCGTCCTTCGGCGAGGCGGGCGCCTTCGTCTCCTACCCGCCCCTCACCAACGTCCACCACGAGCTGCGGGTGGAGGCCGAGTTCCTGCCGCTGGCCCCCGACGGGCTCCTGCTCTTCAGCGCCGGCAAAGCCGCCCCCGTCGAGGACTTCGTCGCCTTGGCCATGGCCGGTGGCCACCTCGAGTTCCGCTACGAGCTGGGCTCAGGTGAGCTGGCACTGGGGCAGGGCTGGTGGCACTGGGAACCCCGGGTAGAGGTGGGGTGGCATCAGTGGGGTCTGCTGGCAGCGTAGGGGTCCCTGAGCTGCAGCAGGAGCCACTGGGGTCCCCAAGTGTGACAGGGGTCCCTTGGTGTCATTGGGGTCCCCAGGCATCACCCAGGTCCTTTGGCACTGCTGGGGTCACTTGGTGTCACCAGGGGTCCCTTGGCATCATGGAGGGTCCCCAGGTACTGCCAGGGTCCCTGGGCATCAGTGGGGTCCCCCTTGGCATCCCTGGTGTCCCTTAGTGTCACTTGGGTCCCCCTGGCACATCACTAGGGTCTCTCAGTGACGCTGTCATCCCCAGGCAGTGCTAGGGTCCCTGGGCATCACCAGGGTCCCCAAATGTCACCAGGCTGTCCTGTCATCACTGTCGTCCCCTGGCACTGCCATTGTCCCCAAGCATCACTGTCACACCACGCTTGTCCCCTGGCATCATTCTGGTCCCCAGATACTGAGACCCCAGGGTCTGTGGACATCAGTGGGGTCCCCTGGTGTCACGGGGGTCCTCTGTCACCACTGGGGTCCCCCGGCCCCCCCTTGATGCCACCATCCCGTCCCCGCAGGCCCGGCGGTGCTCCGGAGCTCGGAGCCGGTGACACTCGGCCGCTGGCACCGGGTGACAGCCGAGCGGGTGCACAAGGATGGGACGCTGTGGGTGGATGACACCCCCCCGGTGAAGCGCTCCTCGCCCGGCAAGAGCCAAGGCCTCAACCTCCGCTCCCCCCTTTACCTGGGGGGCACCGAACCCCCCCTGCGCCCCCCAACCAACGCTTCCTTCCGCGGCTGCATCGGAGAGGTGAGACCCCCCCAAGCCCCCCGTCCCGGCCATGGGGGTCCCCCTCGGCGGAGGCGGGGGGCAGAGGTTGAACCGGGCCCCCCCTTTGGTGCCCCCCAGGTGTCCATCAATGGGAAGAAGGTGGATCTGTCCTACAGCTTCCTGCGCAGCCGCGGCGTGGGGCAGTGCGGGCAGAGCTCGCCCTGCCTGCCGGCCCCCTGCCTGCAC